TTCATCATATAGTTGTTCAAAATCCCCTCAACAAATAACCCTATTTTCCTCATTCAATTATTAACCCCCCAGCATTCCACCCTTCTTCCAGCGGCAAAACGAAAGAAAGAAGAAAAAAACAAAGGTATTAATTTGAGAATTTTTATTTTAAGTAATGACAGTTTACTGTAAGTATTTGTTAAAGTTATTTATGAGAAGTTTCCACCATTTTTTCAAGTCTTTTGATTATTGTTTTGGTTAAAGAATTATTAAGGGCATTTTAATAAAATAGTATTCGGCCGAACTAGGGTGTTACAATCATGTTCAGGGTTATCCAACAAGTAGCATGAAAAACACATACAAATTGCATAAGTTTCATTTGTTCCTATGCAAAATTCTACCTTTTCAATATCCTCGTGTTGCAGGGTTCCACCAACGTTTGAAAAGTTGTACTCTTGTGTCTACACTTTTTTTAAGGAGTATTCTCATCAACTTGTGATATGTGTAGCCATGATAGGGGACCGACCGTGTATCTTTTTTACTATAAGAAATAATGAAATATCATATGCCTATTCATGCATGGCTGCTTCTCTCACCGTAGAATTCCAACAATCAACCTACTGTGGCTCTTTTGCCTGTTTGCTCTCTCTTTGAACTTACGTTGTTTGGTATTTGCAGAAAAATTCATCACTTTGTATTGTTTGTGAACTCTATTACTAACTTCATATAATGGTGGTGTTGAACATATTTTTGAACTTAAGCCCTCAGAATAGGAGTGTGGCTGGGATACTTCAGTTGTTGATAAGGTAGCTCCAGCATTCAGAGATTAATGGATGAAACTTATTATGCACCCATATGCCATGTGGTGGTGATAAAGAGCAACCATTAAAAAAAACTAAACAAGCAGTTTATAAAATTTATGAAGTATTACTTCTACTGCGTATATGTTTTCACTACTACTTGCAAGTTTCATGCTCTACTATATATATGGTGATGTATATTTTACAGTATATATATTTGTATTGGTCTTGGACATTCGGGTTTGGCAACTCTATGTTTGAGGGTTTTGTAACGTGATATTTATTTCTTCATGTAGGAACTTTGAGAAGAGGCTTCGGTCTTTGGAGGATTCTTTTAGCAAATGAACGTTGGTGCTCTCCTACTCATAAATCTGTCTCCCTGAAATTATAATAGATAGTTTGTCGAAAAGGTTGTCAGAATATTTGAAATATCAGTGCAACTTGAGTATTGATACAACTATAATGAAGATTATAATTGTAATAAAAATAGTTTAAACTTAGCAACATTACTTCGCCAATTGAGACATGGGTGCATAATTGGTGATCCTTATGGTCTTAAAGTTGTTGATACTGATCTAGAATATATGCCTATTGATGAGAGGTTGCTGAAAATAGCTTAGGAAGAGACTAGGAAGTTGAAAGGCCCTATACAACCACCAATTTTTGTGCTGAATTTAGAAATACATATATACACTACTGTTTTTAACTTTATTGATTACTTTCTACTTCTCTTCTTATCCTTGTTGCTTACTTGCTACTTCTATTTTAACTCTAGTTTTTACTTGTTACTCGTCTTTTTGCCTATGTTTAGATGCTTTCATGGGAAAAACCTCTCAAAATTGATAAATCATGAGGTTTACCGTTTGCCGACCGTTTACAGTATCTTTTGAATACTTTCCAAATATTTCAAATGTCAAGTAGTAGGAATACTTAGAGCCTACTTCTAATTTCTGTCTTCCATCTTTCATGTCATCCATTGAGATTTTATTTTATTTGTCATATTATGTTGTATTGTTATATTTTCAATGCTTTCCATAGGAAGTTCACTTATTAAGTGGACTGGTTATGAACAAGTCTCTAGGATGCTTTCCACCTTGTAAATACTTTATGTATCCATAAAACAATTGTCTCTACCTTGCTGCACTAACAAACTGCAGGCAAGTCATTGGGCTTCATACTTTTATCAGGGTTCAATTAGCACTACCTTCCAATCTTATCACGTTTCAGGCGAGTACCTGAAAAACAAATCTCATCATGTTCAAGGTTATCCAACAAGTGGCATGAAAAAGACATACAACTTACATAAGTTGCTCTTTCACCTTTGTTGTTGAAAGTTTTCTTACTTATTTTAAGGTTCCTTTGTTTCTATGCATATTCTTACTTTTTCAATATCCTCATGTTGCAGGGTACCACCAACGGTTGAAAAATTGGACACTATGTCTAATTTTTTTTTTCAGAAGCGTGATGATCAACTTGTAATATGTCTAGCCATGATAGGGGACTCGGTAGCTTCTTTACAACAAGAAGTAATGAAATACCCTATGTCTATTCATGTATAGTTTCTTCTCTCATGTCGAAATTTCAACAAGCAACACATTTTTGGCTCTTTTAGCTGTTTGCTCTCTCTTTGAACGTATATTGCTTGTTATTTGTTGTAAAACTTATCACTTTGTACTGTTTGTGAACTTTATTGCTAACTTTAGATAATGTTGTTAAAGTTAAGGCCTCATAATGGGAGTGGTTTGGGTACTTCAGTTATTGATGAAGTAGCTCCATCATTCATAGAATTCATGGAGAAAACTTATTATGCTCACATCTGCTCTAATGGTGGTGATAAAAAGCAACAATTAGAAAAACTAAACAAACAGTTTGTAAAATTTATGAGGTATTATTACTACTATGTGTGTTTTCACTATTACAAACAAGTTTCATGCTCTTCTAGTTGTGTCTCATTACCAAACTCCATTTATCTAGATGTTATCCCGGGTGGCTGTTTAATTTATCCAATTTTTTATATATGTATTTCTGGATTAGTCTGAGACATTTAGGTTTGGCAGCTCTGTGCTAAAGGGTTTGTAAAGTGATATTTATTTCATGTAGCAACTTCGAGAAAGAGTGTTTTGGTCCTTGGAGGATTCTTTTAGCACAGGAACGTTGGTGCCCTCTTACTCAAGAATCTGTCTCCCCTTAAATCACAATAGATGGTTTGTCGAATAGGTTGTCAAAAGATTTGAAAGATCTGAAATCAAATTACTTCGCCAATCGAAGCATGGTAGCATAATTGGTGACCCTCATGGTCTTAGGGTTGATGATACTGATTCTGAATCCATTTCTATTGCTCAGAGGTTGTTGAAAAGGGCTCAGTAAGAGGCTAAGAAGTTGAAAGACCCTGTCCAACCACCAATATTGGTTCTGGATTTAGAAATCCAAGTATACTCGACTCTTTTTAACTTTTTTACTTACTTGTATAGATTCTTCCATGGGGAAGTCTGCCAAAGATTATAAAACAGGAGGTACCTTCCTAAATGTCAAGTAGTAGAAATGGATGACTCTGTTTGCCTTTTTAAGGACTCCTTTAATGCTTACTGAGTTCTGGATCTCGATTGTGACTCGAAGAGTAAACAGACGTATTACAAGAAATACGTAGAGCCTAGTTCTAACTTTCAAGTTAAAATGCACTCTTTCTTTCAAGAGTTCATGCAATGTTTGCTCTTTCGTTCCCTGGCAGTATTCTCTAATACAGGGCATCTATGGATGCACTCCGTTAGCCAAAGAGTTTGGTAACCTCTTTGAAAAATTCAATATTAATTAATATTTGCGTCATGGAGATGATAAAGTTACTCTCTAAGTTATTTATTTATTAATGGTTTGAAGTTAGACAAATAACATTACTAGGGTTACCAATGGATAAGTTTTGATTACTATGAAAGAGTTGTCATCAATAGTCTATCAAGTTGCGAGATATGTTTTCTGATATGCTGCAATTGTGTTCTAAGGGGCAATTTGCTGGACCTCATCATTGCGGACTTATCATTTGTGGTGGGTAGTTTCTGGCAAGTATTTGGGTCTCAGATGTGTTGGTTCCACAATACCTCATATTGAATTATTCACCATTGAGCTTGCAGATATTCTTTACAAATTCAGTTATAAAAACTTAAATTATGAAAGAAAAGTATATCAAATACTAAAGACTGCAAAAATGATTTATTTGAATCCAATTCTCACAATATAATATGGTAGTTACACTTATGAAATATAAAATAATTTAGACAACATTAATGTAATTCAAATACGGATATTAAGTTTCATGCCTTAACCATGCTATGGGATGTGACATGTCTTCCAAAATATTAATTTTGTGTAGCAAATATGTATTATTATAAAAAAAATCCGTCATTTCTAAAAAAAAACTAAGATGTCATTGGATGATGGAGAAAAAATGAAAATAATTAATTAAAGAAAAAATCCACTTAATAATAAAAAATTAAATATATTTTCACCCTTGCTTATCATATTTTATCCAATTTATGGTGAATTTGAAGTTTTTTAAATAAAAAAGTAAACAAAGTATACCATATTCTATTGAAGGATATATGTGTTGAAAATTTGGAAATTTGGAAAATAATCTTTGTTGTTTTCTTCCATTGATGGATGGAAAACTTATTTATGCAAGATAGAGTACATGAATTCATAGAATATAGAGGAAGTAGACTAAATGGATGAGAATTAATTGTCTTTTAGTTTCTAGACTGATTGATGATTGGATGAATTTGTTGAATTATTCGTTAGTTGAATTGTATCATTATTACACTCTCACAAGATGGGGAAGTAACAATTATGTCGATCTTAGATCACAGAATATTGAAGGAAGGGATTCCAAGTGAGGCACTACACCATTATCTTTCTATTGTTTATTGATTTGATGCACTTCTACCCTATGAATTTCAGGAAAAGGTGATGCACTACTCTTCCCAGTTGGACACAAGCATTTTGTACCATTTTACTTTGGTAAATTAACAAACGTACCTCTATACTAATTTTTTGCACAAATAGACCCTTATAATATTAAATCGTAATAAATTTACCCTTTCATCTAATTATCCGTTAAATGAGTTGGGAAATGCTCCAATTACCCTTCTAATTTAAGTTTTAATTATTTTATTATTTATGTCCAAAATCAATTAATTAGAAAAACAAAACCCTAAATTAATTTAGATGCACCTAATTGAACGAGACCGCCGGGAGAATTCGTGTACAGCAGCCGATCTTGATTCTTGCGGCGAATCTCCGCCACCCGCTCCATAATGTAATCGAGGTAGTAGTCGAGGAATAAGGTTTTTTCGTTCTTCTGGATGCGGAGGGTGAATCCGCGCTTCTCGTCGGGCAAGGGGTTCCAGGAGAAGGTCTGGGAGTGGCGGTGTGAGACGACGTGCTCCCAGAGGACGACGGCGCCGTTGAAGGAGTCGGCGATGGATTCGTTGTTGGCGAGGCTGAAGGTGACGGCATAGGAGTTGACGGAGCGGGTGAGGGAGAGGAGGGTGTCGGAGTTGGAGACGGAGGAGGAGAGGTAGAGCTAGACGGCATTATAGAGCTCGTTGGTGTTGACGCCGTCGGTCTCACTGATGTCGAAGTAGGCTGAGAGGTGGCCGGTGAGCTTGAGGACGGTGAAGCGGAGCTCCGGTGGGATGATGGAGTTGACGATGCCCTAGCAGGCGGCAGGGGAGACGGGTGCTTCTGATTTCTGAATTAGTTAGGGATTTCGTTTTCTAATTATTTGATTTTGGACATAAATAATAAAATAATTAAATAAACTGAAATTAGGACTAAATGAGGTGTAATTAGATTTTTTTAGCCCATTTAACGATCACTTAACGGATAATTAGAAGGATGGGTAAACTTGTTACGATTTAATATTAGAAGGGTAAGTTTGTACATAAATTTAGTAGAGGGGTAAGTTTGTTAATTTACTAAAGTAGAGAGGTACAAAATGCTATTAACCCATTATTAGGGCTGACAGTCGATCGGTTTTGGTTTAACTAAAAACCAATTTCTTGGTTATCGGTTAAACCGAGAAACCACACATGCCTACCGCCAACCGACCGTGAGAGAGCCACGGCTAGCCGACCATTGACCGGTTGGTTATCGGTTTTTAGTTCGGTTAGCCGTGGTAACCGGACTTATGGTTGTCGGTTTGGATTTCTGAATAGGGGATGAGAGGGGCAGAGACAGGGCAAGGTACCAGGGGGTCGGGGATGAGAGGTCGCACGGCGCCGGTGAGGTACTAGGATGAGAGGGGGCGAAATCGCTACAGAGGGGCGGTGACGCTAGGTCAGGGGCGTGGCGATTGGCGACGAGGAAAAGAAGAAGAAGGGGAGGAGCGGGGTCGTTGGAGGGCCGACCTCTGTTCTGTCTCTCGTCGTTGCAGCTGGAAAAGAAGAGGAAGGAGGTCGTCGTAGAGGGTCGGTGGTCGGGGAGGGGAGAGTCGATGGATGGAGGAGGGTGGAGGTGGCCGAATTGATGATTTAATTTTAAGGTTAGGACGTTAGGTTATGTTTTTATTTGGGGAGATTCGGTGTTTTATGGCAAGAATTGGGCGGAGGTTGGTTAGCCGGGTAACCTCGGTTAGCCACTCCATTTACTCGGCTAACCGAACAGCCCCTCTCCCTTGTCGACCACCGACCGAGGCATGTTAGCTGACGGTTTTCGGTTAGCCGCTAACCAGCGGTTTCGATTAAACCGGACGGTTAGCCGCTAACCGGAAACCGAACTGCCACCCCTACCCATTATTAAACTAAGAACACAGTTTGTAGGATTGTTGCTCAGGCATTACTGTTCTGTTGGAGACTACAATGGTGCGACGAACTGCCTCTACACATATGTGGATCCAATATTTTGGCAACTTTGGGAGGACATAGTCCGACTCGAAGATGCTATCAGGGCGGCGGTGGCCCCATCGCAGCTCTGGATTGTTTGTTAGAGAACATATTTCCTCCATGGTTTTTTGTGTTGATGTTAAAAGTAGCTAGTTAAAGTGAGAGACCTATATGTCTTTTGTGTTATTTCTTTTGCAAGTAGTACCACAATGTCTTTGTAGCGACCATCAAAACTACTTCTAACTTGCAGCAACCAATAACATGCAATTTATAGGGGAAATATCTATCTAACACTCTCAACTCCATGTGAGTGGTCAAGTGCACGAGGTAAATGTTAACTTAGTTAACTATTAATTGTTTTGTAACATATCTTAACTTGTTAATTAGCTCCTGCAAGTCCTGCTAATAGTTTTTTTTATCTGAGAACATCAAAGTTAGTGTTGGGCCTTGCCTCGTCTCTTTCACTCAACCAAAAGGCCCAGTTGCACATAAGCCCACCTAACCAAGTTGCTACATCACCTCATACCTCGACAAGAGCCCAGTTGCGCGTCATCGCCTTTACCACTGTCATCAGCATCGTCAAAGACAAGTCGATCACTTGAACTTGAGTCATCGATGCATCGATCGTCACCACCATCAATTCTGCTTAACGGAAACCAGCATTGAAGAAGAGAGACAGAAGACCAGCACAATCTGGTGCTATATAAAGATCTCCCCAGGAAGAAGAAAGGCAACGGTTTCCTGATACTCAGTAAGAACGGGTTTGGTTCTAGGGAGTCTATGGTTTGGGTTCATTGTTTGTGTCTGGATAGCTTGAGTTGGGGCTTTGAGCCAGGAACTCAAGCTTATCTGGGCGTGGCTTCTTCTTGTGTTCTTTCAGTCCTTGTTTGTCTTGAATTTAGGTTTGAATTATGTTTTCAGAACCCTTGATCGAGTTTGTTAGGTCTTCATTCTTAATCATCTCTGTCTAATTGAGATTGTTCCCTTGTTGGATAGAATCATCGATTCTGGAATCTGATTACTCCAGGCAAGTTAATGGAATTGAATACATAGCTTTTTAACAATTGGTATCAGAGCCTCCTTCTCATAAGAACTAAGTGTTGCTGAGAAGGAGATCCTCTGTCTGGCTATGTCTTCAAACTCATTTCCATCCAGCTCAAACCCTCCCTGGTTTTCTGGTTCTAATTACTCTATATGGAAAAAAAGAATGTGCCTTTTCCTCCGAGGAATCGACTGTGATTTGTGGGCAATTGTCCGAAATGGACCAATTGACATGAAAGAAGATGATGAGGAGGAATGGTAAGATGAACAAAAGAAAAGTGCTCAACTAGACTCTAGGGCTATGCACATATTGCTTTCTGCTATATCTGAAGATGAGGGTGAAAGAGTGAACAAATGTGAATCTGCTAAAGAAATATGGTCAATTCTAGAAACTACTCACGAAGGAACATGAGAAGTTAAAGAAACCAGAATTGATTTGTTGCTAAAAGAATATGAAACCATTGACATGATCTCTGGTGAATCCATTTCAGAAATGGATAAGATATTTTCCACCTTAGTCAATCGACTCAAGGGATTAGGAAAAACATTCACAAGCAAGGAGCTTGTTAGAAAAGTACTTAGGTCTCGTCCCCTTGAATGGATGGCTAAAAGAACAGCCATTGAGGAAGCCAAGGACCTCAATGTCCTCTCACTTGAAAATCTCATTGGATCTCTTCTTAGTCATGAAGAAGTTCTCAAACAAATGAACTCTCTTCATGATAAGAAAAACAAAACAATTGCTTTTCAATCTGTATGCACTGTAGAAGAAGAAAAATTAGATGAAGAATTTGAAAATGAACTTGCCCTCACCAGCAAGAAACTTCAAAGAATGATGAAATTTAAACATGATCTCAATGCAAAAAGGGGAAGTAATTCTTACTCTTCCAGATCTCCTGGAAACATAGCACATAATGCCCCTAGATCTTCTGGACATCATTCTGGTGGAGCAAATGACAAAAATACATTTGTGTCCAACAGATCAGACTCTGGTCCTAGAGACTTTAAGAATTCAAATGACAAATCTGACTCAACTATTTGTTTTAAATGTGGGAAAACAGAACATATTAGAGCAAATTACCCACTGAACAAAAAGAGAGAACAAGCAATGACTGCCTCATGGAGCGACTACAGCTCTGAAGATGAACCTGAAGTGGTTGCTTACATGGGACTCAATTCCAGCCTAGGAGAGGACACAACAACTGAAAAGGTATGGTCTGATTCCTTCTCATACTCAGTCTCAGAAACGTGCGATGAAGACTTCTTTCTTCATGCCTTATCAAATCTTCAAAATGAATGCAACTTACTAAAGAGCAAGTTTTGTCTCACTGTTACTCAACTGCATGAGAAGGAAACTGAAATTTGTAGACTTAACAAGCTTGTTGATAATCAACAAGCTGCTCAAATCACTCAAGACACTCAAGTAGCAAATCTCATAGTTGAAAACAAAGAGCTCAAGAGGCAAATTAACCAATGTCACAAAGTGTGGAATAAAAACACTAGAAGGTTCTATCCAGATCATAGATTTCACACCTTTGATGGACCTTATAAATATCTGAACTCCAAGAACATTTCTTACTCTAGGAGATATCCACTGTTCTGCTCTAATTGTAATATGTCTCGTCACAATCACTCTCATTGTCTTTACAAGAAACCAAAACCCAAACTTGTTTGGGTTGTTAAAACTTCTAATTAAATTCTTTTCCTTTCAGAACAATAATGGTGGTAACATCTGGTACTTATTCTGGATGCTCTCACCACATGACAGGTAACAAAGACCTGTTTTCTTTTTTAAACCCAAAAAGAGGAGGTAAAGTTTTCTATGGCAATAATAATTGTGCTTCTGTTGTTGGGAAAGGAACTGTTAGCAACAATTCTTCCCTAATAATTGAGGACGTTCTCTATGTTGATGGCTTAAAGCACCATTTGCTTTCAATTAGTCAAATTTGTGGGTCTACCTATCGTGTTACATTTGATCCATTTTGTTGCATCATTGAACGCGTCTCTGACAATGCTGTTATATTCAGAGGAAAGAAAATTAACAATGTATATACATTAGATTTATCCACTCTAGACCTCTCTGAGGACATATGTTTGAGCTCCATATCTGACTCAGTGATCAACTGGCATAGAAAACTAGGACACATGGGCATGTCTAGACTTTCTAAACTCTCTAAACTCAACATTGTTAGAGGTCTGCCTTTAATCAAAGCATCAGACTAATTCACCTGTGAAGCTTGCATTCTAGGAAAACACTGTAAAAAATCCTTCAAAAGTAAACAGGATGTTACATCTAAAACTTCCTTTGAACTTTTGCATATGGATCTGTTTGGTCCCACCAATGTCCAGAGTCTTGGTGGTAAGTCTTATGTTCTTGTCATAGTTGATGACTATTCTAGATTCACTTGGGTATTTTTCTTGTCATCCAAAGATGAAGCCTTCTCCAAGTTTAAGTCCTTTGTCACTTTAGTTCAAAATCAATATAACTGTGTAGTCAAGAGCATCAGGAGTGATAATGGTGGTGAATTCATTGATGATAACTTTAATTGCTTCTGTGATGAAGTAGGAATATTACATACTTTCTCAGCTCCCAGAACTCCACAACAGAATGGTGTTGTGGAGAGGAAAAACATATCCCTCATTGAAACTGCTCAAACCATGCTTTTGGAATTTGACTGTCCTAAGTTTCTCTGGGGAGAAGCAGTCAATACTGCTTGCTATGTTTTAAACAGGTCTATAGTTCGAAAAAGTAATCAACAAAACTCCCTATGAAATTCTAAAAGGAAAAACCCCTAAACTATCCTA